AATATATATTTAGTACATCTTTGCAATAGATGCACATTTCCTCATGTATTGTCTCTTTACAACACAGTTCATGTACGTACAAATACCTGATGGCTCACTGGATTTCTTGGAGATAAATGAGTATATTGTATTTTATTTTTTTTTGCAGCATTGTAAATGGTTAAAACACAAGAAATTGTGCATGTTTTGTAGAGATGTACTGATTATTTTAATTTTTTTTAAAGACAAACACTAATTTTGAATATCCAGTGGGAAGTATGGTGTGTTAAGCTTAGGGGAATCCATGTGGTGGCATTGCTGAGCTATTCTTCTGCCTGGGTTATATTGGCAGATACTGCTTGAGCTCAGTAGAGGTTTGGGCTTCCCACTTCAGTGTTCACCAATGCAGCCCCACTTTGATTTAATGTTTTCTTGTGTTGTATGTTCAACCTAACCCAGGAGCGCACAAAGAATCAACACCCCACCTGCATATCATTGTTTGTGCTCCAGCTCAGTGCTCACTTCACAAGTGGCAGCCATGTCTGAAATGAAAACTAACTGTGCCCAGGGATCGGTTAAGAATCTGGTAAAGATTTAATCATCTTCCAATGATGATGATGACAGCACTTTGTTCATTAAGACTCTGTGCAGCATGCACAATGTATACATTTGATCCTGCTTACTGTTTGGGTGTGGAAGGAGCATTAAGGTGCCCATACACCTTACAATTATCTGCAGATTTTCTGTGGTCAGATGTAAAAAGTGCAACAGATTGGAGCAGGTGGAGATTACTCCATCCACACAGTTCAGAGTAGATGGAGGAATCTGTTGCACCTTTTCCATCTGACCATAGAAAATCTGCAGATAATTGTAAGGTGTATGGGCAGCTTTACACAGTGCTTCTATCCTGTATTTAAAACCCTGCAGGTAAATAGGAAGCCAGTATTTTAACACGCCAGATCTTACACAGTGTTTTCTTCCATATTGCTGCTTTCTAAAAAACAAAAATCTTGATTAAAAAAAAGGTTATTGTATCACCAGCTCCATCACAACCCAGAATTATGGAGATCCATACACCCTAGTATGGCAGCATTGCATTGAAAAGTATGGCTTCATAGGCATGTGTCTGGTAGCTGATAACAGTCAGCTGCTCACTTTCAGACCGATGTGACAATATGAGACCCTGTTCATTTTACATATCAATGTTAATATACAATTTTTAATATTGGAGTCTAGCACCAATCAGTGTTAACACAGACGTTTAGGGTGAAGTACAAATAGTCATATTACATGTCTATGTCTATGTTTATTTCAGCCAACATCCAGTAAAGCTAGCTTTTTATGTGCCTTTTTTTGCTAGGGTAGGAAATCACTCAAACATCTTTATTGTAGAAATGAGCAGCTCAACTGAGAATGTATTTGCTTGAAGCACAGTACAGAGGCAGCAGAAATGTGCATTGAAGGCCTTCATAGCTACTTTCAAGTAAACAAAGAGGGCACCTCTAACACTCTACTGTTTTGCTCAAACTAAAGTGGGGTATACACAGTTCTGTTTTTTTTTTCACTGAACCCACGGGCTTGAGCAGATTCTTCCATCAACGTTAACAGACAAATCCCTGCTGTTTGCGTTGTATTTTGACAGCGGCTGCTAGCTGCGTCGAACCTTGGATTTTTCAACCTGCTCCTTCTACTGGGCGACCGTGGCACCCACGGTACAGGAACTGCCCAAAATTCAAACCATGTGACTTACACCAGGGGTGGACAGATGTATATGAAAAGAAGGAGCCAGTTTTTCCAATCCAGGAACCAGCAGGATTTTTTTAGGAGCTAGCTTCATTGACAAAAAGAAAACCTTCAATGTTAGGGGGCAGCTGTCATTTTTAAGGAGCATTGGTTACATGGCTCCTGGGATTTGTCCAACTCTGAACTAAACTGTACGGTTTGATTTAATTTGCCCTCTATACCTGCTTTGGATTGTCCTATAACAGAAAAGTTGCTTTCTATCCTGTATATATGAATAGCTCTTCATCCAGGTTTAGTCTGTAGCATTGTGAAGAATATAGCAGCAGTTTTTGGACTTCTTTGTTGTCAGTGGAAGATATTTCTAAGCTATGCAATCCCCAGTTATTTATCCGTTCTTTGTCTTTATCTTTTAGCGGATATCTGTTTTTGTTGTAAGGAGAATAGTGTGTAATGTCATGGTTCCATAGATGCACCATGCAGGGGTTTCAATAAAGATTCCATCTCTTACAAAAGGCCAGAGGTCTGTAGGTTACCTTTTATAGGTTACCTTATCCTGTACTAAAATCTTCTTTTTGGCCAGAATTCTGTGTCTGACTCTATCAGTCATTTTATGTATCCTGCAGGTAGTTTTACTACACAGTGTAATAATAATAATACACTTCAGTATTAAAGAACACTTCCACCCCAACACTGAAAATTCAACATTGGCAGGAACTTGGAGGGCATCTCTGGTTTGCTTTTTATTGACTCAATGGTTTCTGTGGAGCTGTCATCTACCAGATCTGAGTCCAGTGCATCAGTTCGCCAACTCTCTTCTGTAGCATAGCAAACACAGGATTCACTCTGCACTTAGGCCTTGTTCACCGGGCATTTCATTTTCATAAGAGCCGTGTGTACAGCAAGATTTGTGAAGCTTTCTGCAAGCTTCTAGCAGCTCTGTTGAAGCCTGTAAAGAATTCTTCAGCTCCATTTGGACAATGTTAAACACCGATCATCTTGAAAGTGCTGACTGTCACTTTAAACAGGCTTCTAACAGGCTTCAGCAGGCTTTCAACAAGCTTCAAGTAGTGCTGAAGCTTACTGGATCCTGCTAGCAGCTTGTTTAAAGAAGAACTCCGGGCATAAAAGAATCTTAACTTTTGCAGTGGGGCTACCCCTGCACTGCAAGGATTAGGTGCTTGTTTTGTTTAGGGAGCTAAAAACCTGAACCTCGAACCTGCCTGACTGCTAGACTGGTCCCTGCAGCCTCGTTCCCCCTCTGCTCTGGCAGTGTAATGTCCCTCTGCGTCCTCACATCCACTGTATTGGATGTGATGACTCACGGGTTCTTAGACCTCCAGATCAGAGGGGGAGCAAGGCTTCAGGGACCAGTCTAGCAGCCAGGGTGACTCGTGGTTCAGGTAAGTATATCTTTATTTTAGCTCCCTAGACAAAAGGAGCACTTAGCCCTTGCAATGCAGGGGTAGCCCATATGATAGGATGTTTGAAACAAATATAAGATCAGGGACAAGGTAGTAGGAGGCCAGCCCACAGGAGACCGCATTGCAAGATTGCTGAGAAAGGTAAGTGCACCATCAAACCCCTCTAGTACAAACTGTCAGTGCTTGTTAACATTCTTGCTGTAATATTTAGAGATTTCAACATAATGTATCTGAATATTTTTTTTCTGTTTTACCCAACTTCTGTATTTATATAGACCCACAATGAGGAACATGTATCCATGATTAGCAGAAGTATAGTGCACTAAAAGCCTTGTATTGTGTTTGTGTGCAATATCTGTGTCAAAAAGACGTTATTTTTGTGATGTAAAAGCAGTTCTATACATTTTGTTTAATTTTGAAGGCAATTAAAGACTTAAGAAACATGACTTTGGCTTCTAAGTTCCCTGTTAATTGTAATATGCAGATAATGATGACTGTAATAGAGACATTCTAAAAAAAATGCTTATTGAAAGTACATAGGCGTGACTCCTAATGTATTATATAATTGGACACATGCAAGTTCCATCATGACCTGAGGGACAGCCTTGAGTACCTCTGCTTTAAGGTGTCTTTCCACTTTTGCTGCCAGATTGGGATAACACCTACTTTTATATTTGTTACATGTTCTCAATCACATAGCATAACTTTAAAGAAATCTTCAAAAATTGCAGCTTACCTTTTTGATCTTTCTGCTCATTCCAGGACTAAAAAATCCTGCTTAGTTCTCACTGTCTGGGGGGAGTTTTTTCAGATAACTGCCTGTACTGTGCTGCCAGATTGCATTATCACTTGTAAACTGGATGAGCAGAACTATCTGTACTATCAAAGGGTAAAAGCTCTGGAGACATTGTATGTTAATGAGGAGATGCTCAGTCTGTCCTAAGCCTTCCTATTAGGACACTCAGAGTTTCCAGTTACGGACATTGAAAGAGCAGCAAGCAAAGGCCCTGCTAAATGGAGATACCTGAAAGGTAAGAAATCTTGGGGTTAGACATGTGCAATTTGCAGTCATATGCTTGCACTAGCGACAAAAATAGTAGAAGAAGTTGGAAGCAGGAGTGAATAAAGCAGGCCTTGCACTCCATGCAAAGACTGCTTATTGAGGGAGGACCCCATTCCTTTTCTTAATCTAATGCACAAAAATAAAAAAACTGAGGAAAGAAGTGGACCTTTTAACCCCTTTCACTAAAAATCACATCAGCATGCAGCTCTGCATGCTGATTTAAAATCATCTTACACTCATTAGTTAAACAAACTTGTTATTCCATTAACTTACAAATAGAATTCCTTCACTTCCTCATC